ATGAGCAGATCAGGTGGGAGTCAGTGCCAACTAGACCCTTTTGTCCAAATTTAAGCAACAAAGAGGCTTAGAAGGAGTGGCTCTTAGGCAGTGGACTTTTAGATAAGGACAATACAGAACAAAATCAAACAAAAGCAGATGTCTAAAGAGCTAGCTTGGTTGACACATAAGCACTTATTAGAGTCATTTTTATGGGCTTGATTGTAAATGTCCCAGGAGAATAAGAACTGAAATGACAAAACCTTAAAAGAGCTATGATTAAAATTTTGATGGACAATTTAGCAACTAACAGTACAGTATATCAGTACCACTAACTTTTTGTTACCATTTTAATCTAAATTTTGTATGTAGAAGGCTTGATATACTTGGAAAATATAAATATATTTAATACACAGGGACCAGCAACAGCATCATAACACTATAGAGGTCAATACACATATTAGTTTAGTTGTTGCTCTTGAAGTAAAACCAGATTTTTATCAGTTGTAAGGGCAAAGAACAGTTTTAGCAAACCCAAACAGCCCAGTCACAAACTAGCCCAGGATACAAACTGTATTAGAATCATGCAAGACAACAGTTGTTTGACCGTGAGGTCATCTAGAAAGTTTTATATAACTGTTAGAAAATAAGAGTCATGGAAGAGGCAGAGATATAGCTCAAACACTGGTACAAGGTTTATTATCTAGGCAGGAGCTCTGTGGAGGGGGACCCCAGCAAGATTTCTAGAGCCCATTGCCATATACGGGCTTGGGCTAGATATAGGGGGCTAGTGGAAAAGTACCAGGAAGGTCACTGTCTGCCCAGCTGTCCCTGGCATATATCCAGGATGATAAAGGTGAGCCATCTGCAAGGGGGAGGGGTCTAGTCCTAATATGGCTGTCCTCATTGTTAACCCCAACATAAACCAACTCTTAAATGAATATGACTCAGTTACCTTAGTAGTTAAAACTCTGACAAAAATCACCAGAGAACACAGGCAAATATTTATGGGGACTACGTGTGGAGTTAGGAAACACAGTGGCCAAGAACCATGGCTCAGATGTTGATTAGGTATCACATGCCAGATTGTTGACATTAACAAATGTCTCATGACACACAGCAGGATCCCACAAACCTGTAGTCAATGGAGCCCCTCTAAAATAACAGGCCCAATCTGCTCATCCGGGAAAACATTCCCTCCACCTGCCATGTGGAAGGAGTAGGACTAATATCCCCACTCTGTTGGGTCTAATAAAAACTGGAGATCTTGACTTCCAGTGTAGTGCTGTTTTTGGAGTGTTTATTTATTTATTTATTTATTTTTATCGTATCCGGAGGGTGCACTTTGGCTTTACATAAGTAAATCTGTCTTAACCCTCATATCAGTGCAGTACTCCCTGTGCTTAGCTGCCTCTTGTGTCTGTGTATTTTAATAAACTCTTATTATCTTGACAAATTTATGGATTGACCTGTAGTATCAAAAATTTCTGAGTTATCTTGACAAAACAAAACCATTATAAGACAATTTTTTTTGTAAATGTTCTAGACCAATACAATATTTTTAAGGTAGTCTTGTTATTATGAGCTTAGAGAATTAAGTTTTAGTTTAACATCAGTATGTTAAATTTTGACCTTATAAAACCTTTAATGTAACTGGATTTTAGTTAACTTAATCAGTTATATACCATCTATAAGCTGTGTCATTTTATGACAATTTACTCTGCATCTTTGTGACAATTTATTTTGTATCCTCTGGGGAGCTGGTCTTTATGCTCCTTTTTATCTAAAAGTATTTTTTAACCCTTTATTTATTTTGGAAAAACAATTTCCTTAATACCTTTTATATATTTTTGTTACTTGTTGAAAATAACTCATAAAATCTTTTAACTTAGAGGTTTACATTTGCATGTAAACCTCTAAGAAAGCAACCTTGAAGTTATTTTTTGTACAAAAGCAATTTATAGAAAGCTCATTTGATAATACACCATATATTATAAGAGAGAATTAAATTCCAGATTTTATTTATAACAGAATGAAACATGCTAAGGTCATTTTAACTACCTAAATTCCAAGATTTTTGATGCAGATGGTAGCCCTTTTTTTTTCCTTCTGGGCTAAGCCAGAGTGTTAACCCCTGAATGTCTGAATCCTAGTGAGAACTGATTGAAATAAGTTTGAAAACCTGTTTTTTTTTGTTGTTGTTGTTTAAGGTAGCAGTAGAACAAAGTAATAACTTTTACATTTACTCTGTAATAAGAATTGTCCTCAAGATGTTTACATATTTAAATGTAAAAGCCTAAGCAGTTTACAACAAAGATCTTTAAAACAAATACCCTGGTTTTGGTATCATATTAACCTTATAGTAGCAACTTAAGAACCATTTTGAAGATGTTTACATACACACACAAAAATGTTTTATAAATTAAGCATGCCAGAAAAAAGTGTCAGCTTAAGCGTGCATAAAATGAGCTGGAATTTCAGGAGCAGATTAAATTTTGCCCATGCTTTAAACAAATTCACACACGCACACATTCACACTGAAGTTATAACAGTTTTCCTTCCCCCCTCTGGGAAAAGTCCCTGACCTATGGAACTCTTCTTGGAGGTTCCTGGGATTGGATTAAGCTCCCCTTCCATCCAGTGGGATGGGACCTGACTGAAGACATGTGGAACTCTTCTTGAAGGTTCCTGGGAGTGGTTTAAGCTCCCCTTCCATCCAGTGGGATGGGACCTGACTTAGGACTGATTTCCAGTCATGCTTTACATGGTGGTGCTTACCGAGTTGGGACAAGACTGCCAGATGAGTTGGTCCACTTCTCCTCTTGGAGTCCAAGCCAGGTCAAGACTGCTCAGAGAGATGGAGCACCACCAGGGTGAAGGAGGATCCAGAATACCATCGGATGGTGCACCACCTCATTTGGTCCATGTCCCTCCCTACTCTGATGCAGCCCAGCTTCCAGCTAGTGGCTCAAGGGGCTAGTCAGTTGGAATCTCGCTGGGGCCTCCAAGATGTTGTGAAAGTATAGTCAGACAAGAAACCAACTGACACTCGGAGGAGTGGAGAACTCAGATTTTATTTTATGCAAGCGGGCTCAGACATGTACCTGTGTCTGAGCCCTGAATAAAGGATTCACAAGATATTTAAAAGGCAGTACAGGGCATCAGGTTACAAAAATGTGTTTAGGTTATGGTGTCCTAACTAGTGAGTTAGAGACCTAAGATTGTTTAGTTTAATTGGGCTGGTAGTGAGCCAGGGACCTAATGTTGTTTAGATAAGGTCAGCAGGGGAGACCTACTTTGGAAAGTTTATTTACAAGTAGAGACAAAGAAGGGCAGGAATGGGTACTTATCTGTGCATGGTGCCTTTCATCTCTGTTCTGAACTTTTGCATGGCTCTAATGGGCAATTCTTCATGCTTTACAGCTCTGTCTGAGGTTACAGCTTTTAATTGACAGTTTACCATGTTTTACGACCTGTTTCAAGGTTATATTCCTCTTCAATAAGTTTTAGGCATGTCATTTGTTCTTTTTTTTCTGTTTTACTTTCTCCTTGGTTTTACAACACTATTGTTTTTAAGCACATTTTGATGGATCATTGGAAATTAGTTAATGGAAAGGAAATGGAGGAAATGCGCATTAAATAGTTCATTTATTGATTGTCTTTCTATTATTCATTCTCAGAACTTATGACAATGACTTCATTCTTTTCTACTTATATTAATGTCAGCTATAAAATAAATGTACTATATTGACATTTATCACTTGTTGGCATTTGCTCCAACCTGTTTAATCTTTAATCATTTTCAGTGTACTTAGAAAACTTTTATATAAAATAAGGAATAAAATCACATTTTCAAAGATGGGTAATTTATAACTGGATGAGATATAATAACATGTATTAATACTCAAATGATAAAAGTAGATGAAATATTAAAAAAATAGAGTGACAATTCTCACATAATTTAATGTGACATAGAAGCTCATAGTTTTATATGCAAGAAATGATTTTTTTGGTGGAATAAAATCTTTTTTTTAAAAGTAATTAGCTTAAGTGAAACAATATTAGATTTCAGCTCTGTTAGTTATAGACTGAAAATATTTTCTGATATCCTGGACAATTTTCAAATAATTTAGACAAGTTTTCTATATTCAAAAGCCTAAATGGCTTTAGGTGGCTGGAAGAGTAACTCTGTCACAAAATTAGTTTTCTTTTACCCGGACCAATTTTGATCTTTTTGTACCACAATTTGACTATATGATAGACATTGTTATCACATGTGAAATAAAGCTATAGACATTGGGAAGCAGTATAAATGAAAAAACAATCTTGAGAAATGATTCTGAGTCCTTAAACTATCTCCTCCCAAACCCTATTCCAAGTTATTTGGGTTGCATGAAGAGTACCAAAGGAGGGATATTTTCTTTAGAGAACAAACATTTCTGAGATTATAAAATGATAGAAGTTGAGAAAAACTCTCATGTTTTACAAGTACGCTTTGGTCACCAATAGTTTCATGAACTTAAAAAACTGAAAAGTAAATAATTTGTCACCCTCCAAAGGTATTAAGTGGATCTTCTGAAATCATTAACATGTTAAATAGTGTTCAACAATGACTGATTTAACATAATCTCATTTTTTGTGTAAGTGAAACCTTTGAGATTTCAACCCTACTTCTATTTATGTGCCTTAGTAAGCACATCTCACAAATAATGTAATCTTCCTGTGTAATGTGCATTGTGTAATTCAGGTATTTTCAGACAAGTGCATTATCATGTGAGTGTGTAAGAATGTAAGTTAATTCATAATGGTGCTGGCCAAAACCAAGAGATTGTTCTTCTCAAATGTTATCCAACAGCACTTGTTAAGTGGGTCCCAAAATAAAAACCTTCACTGAGAGGGATTTTAGGCAATCGGTGAGCTAGCTAGTTACTAAGTGATCCCATAAATCCTCTTCATGTAGTTACAGAAATATCACATTTTTCCAGCTCTGTAATTTTGTTCCTTTTAAGACTACAAAGCTGAGTCTGAAGACAATGGACAGGTCCAGCCATTCCAGAGTATCTGAGTTTGTGTTACTTGGACTTACAGATTCTCCTGAGCTCCAGATATTTTTCTCTGTGGTATTTTCCATTTTCTATTTTATGACCACATTTGGCAACTGCCTGATTTTGCTCACCATTCTGTCGACCTCACATCTGCACTCTCCCATGTACTTCTTGCTCAGCAACCTGTCTCTTATTGACCTGTGTCTGTCCTCCTTTGCCACACCAAAGATGATCATGGACTTCTTTGCTCAGCGCAAGACCATTTCCTTTGAGGGCTGCATTTCGCAGATCTTTTTGCTGCACCTTTTCACTGGGACTGAGATTGTACTGCTGATTTCCATGTCTTTCGACAGGTATATTGCCATATGTAAACCTCTCCATTATTCAACAATTATGAGTCAAAAAGTCTGTATTGGGCTTGTGGTAACTTCTTGGACAGTAGGCTTCCTGCATACAATCAGCCAGTTAGCATTCACCCTCTATTTGCCCTTCTGTGGTCCCAATGTTATAGATAGTTTCTTTTGCGACCTTCCTTTGGTCATCCAGCTGGCTTGTGTAGATATATATGCTCCTGGGATCTTCATGATCTCGACCAGTGGTGTGATTGCTCTTGTAAGTTTTCTGCTTTTGCTCACCTCCTACATCATTGTTCTTGTCACTGTTAGGGATCACTCCTCCACAGGATCATCTAAGGCTCTTTCTACCTGTACTGCACATTTTATAGTTGTGCTAATGTTCTTTGGGCCTTGCATCTTCATTTATATGTGGCCTTTCACAAACTTCCTGGTGGACAAGATTCTCTCTGTTTTCTACACCATCTTTACCCCTTTTCTGAATCCACTTACATATACTTTGAGAAACAAGGAAGTGAAGATATCAGTCAAGAAACTGAGCTATCAATATTTCAATTTTGGGAAAATTATTCCACAATATCCAGTGCAATGAATGGGATAATCTGTCTGAAATGGAGATCTCCAGTTTTGTTAATAGAACAATAGAAAATTGAACTCAAAATCTGCCTTTCAAGTATTTTCATCTGAATTTATGATAAGAAGAAGCTAGGACTGAGAGTATGCCTAGAAGTGCAGTGCTTGAAAGTCTTTTGAAATTATGGATCCATGTGATAATCTGTTGAAATCTAAAGCTTGTATTTACAGAAAAATACATATATCATCAAAATTGTGAATATAAATTTAGGGTTTTATATATCTGTGAATCCTATGCACATATCTCAAATTAAGACCCTTATAGAAGACTGAGATAGAACATGGTTCTCTCATTTTCTACCCTAGAACATCCAATTCTGCTGCCTAGCCTTGTTCCCACTGTAATTTAGATTTTTAATGAAGAGATTGGGGCATAACAGGATTTATTCATAACATTAGAAATACTTTTATGGGAAATTTGATATTGTGAAGAAATGTTTTTGAATGACATTGAACAATTTTGATTCAGTAGGTCAATTTTTTTTGAGTTCTAAAGTCAAATTTGAACATGAGAGAGAAGTTAAAAGGATTTGAACCTTAACAATATAGGTTCTTAATAGGTGTGCATACCACCATCACTTGATAATTTAATACCAAGTAATCAATCAAATGATAATTTGTAAAGTTTAAATCAAAGAAAGTAAGCTATGTAAATCTGATTGGCTTTCAGAACCCAGGTGAAAATCATAGACATGATTAACCTATTTAGCACTGAAGCTTTTAACTATTAAATTCATGATACATTTTTCACTTTTGAAATAAAACATTCCAAAATATTATTAGCCTCACTATAAATTTTGCTTCCAGTTTTCAATATAATATGACTATTGGGAAGAAAAGATAATAGGAATTTAAAAAAACACATATTCCAATTCTCCTTAATTTGGTTTATTATGGATTATGTTAAATAAATGTTTTATTATAAAATGTTTTTTGAAATCAGCTGGTCAACCATTTTGCTAACTGCTAAACAACCAAAGGGTCAGAGAATTCATAGAACCAGTTTATAGCTAAATCACTAAAAGTAGCAAAGACAATTGCTCTTGATCAGACATGTGGAATCTTGGAATTAAATCTTGAACTTCTGTGTGCTATTCTGAGAGAGTGGTTTTATCTATCATTTTTTATATTTAATATGAAGATTATAAAAAGCAGATTCAATGTTTCTTGATACTGTTTTTAGGAAAGTAGACAGAATATATTCTCAAAATATCATTTCCTTTTCTCTTGGACGTCTACCTCAACTGTCTGATTTTTAGGTTTTTGAGGAATAGCTTCATTCAGGGCAAAGCACTAGCAATCTTTGATATTATTATTTTGGGATGTCTCTAAGACTATAGTTTGTAAAGACATATGTCAGAGAAACAAGAATATTTTCTGGTTTCCAGTAATAATGGGTGTGTGTGTGACAAAACTGGGTTAGATTGGCTAATATTAATATTAACTAATAATATTTAACATAACATTAATATTTAATTAATTTATAATATTTATTAATGTTAATATTATTAATATTAATACATGGTGTCTCTTTGAATTGACTGTTATGAAAAGATTTCTTGGAGCCAACTGTCATCAGGGATTTAGATGGTGAGTATGTTGACAAAAACACAAGCCTTTACCCTGTAAAGAAAGAAATGGCATTTACAATTTATTACACTTACATTAGATCTTTAAGATCTCAACAACTTCAACGTTAGAAACTTCCAAGGCAAATGTTTTACAACTGAAATTTAATAATGTACTGAATTTTATGAGGCAATGTAATATTAGAGTTATGAACAAAGGCACACATTTAGTTTGAAACCTAGTTTATTTTTAACCAAATCATAAACTCCTCTTTATTGTCTCAAGTTAGTCAAACAAAAATGTTCATAGGGAAAGGCACTTTTGCCTCATTCCCATTCTTCAGCAAAAGTTATTATCTTTGCTTTAAAATATGAACCTGAGCTCTGAAGTGTCGATTTACTGAAGTTCACAATCTGTTTCTGTCAAGAGACATAATCCTGCAATTATGTAGTACCAGTCTGCTGTAGGCCTGAATTCCAGTCCCATTACTTTCTTCTTGTAAAATTTGTCTTTTATAATGTTCTTAATAAACTAGTTTTATAATGTTCAGTTTCTTCATCTATACAACCTAGTAATAGTATTTAACCACTATTGATGTTATAGAAATTGAATTAAAACTCAGTAACATATTTAGCAGTGTTTGGTATTCATTAAAGGTTTAACAATTATCAACCAATAATATATCATTATCATAGCTGTTGGGATGTATATGTCAAAAACTGTAGTCACTGGAATGGAACTGGAGGTGCTTACTTAATCATGAATGGCATAGTTTTATATGACAATAGAATCTGTTATTAATTTACCTAATGTTATGTTGGACCTGTGCAATTATTGAGAGTTTTTGATGTATTTCTCTGGTTAATGTTGTCATTTGTGTGCCTGTATTTTCTAAAGAAGAAGTATAGCTTCTTATTTTAAATTGAAGCATATCCCAAGATGGCATGAAAGGGCAAGATAATAATTACACTATGTCCACTAGGACACTGCCTTTTTAAAAAGTTAAGTGCCTTGAAATAAACGTGGTTAAGAAGTCTAAAGGATGATGTGTGTGTTTCATCTCTCATCTTTTACTTATTCAAAAGGTGGATTTTGAACTTTTTTAAAAATAAAATCAGAGAACAAGGGAGCAGAACAGTTCCTGTCTGTAGGTTGGTACCAGTGGGAGGAGAGGAGGATATTGGGAAATGGTGTAGAAGAGTGGATATTGTGCAAATACTATGTATACATGTATGAAATTTGAAAAATGAGACCAGTTGAAATTTCCAGGAATGGAGGGAGGGGAATAAAGGAAAATGATGGAGTGGGTGAATTCAACTATGATATATTGCAAGAACTTTTGTAAATGCCGTGATGTACCCCCAGCACAATCATCAAAAAGGTAATAATTTGAATGCTTCAAATTCTTCTATAATCTGATTTATTAAAACTTTTAACTGGGAAATGAATGCTGACTTATTTACTTTATATAAAGCACATTAATAAACAAGTTTCAACTTTCAGCAGAAAGACTGTCTAGATTTATGAAAATATAAATGAATTATTTGTTTGGAAACATGGTGGAAAGTAATATTTAATAAGTTGTTCAATCTAGAACCATAAAATTATAGACTCAAGTTAGACATTTCATTTGGCAAATAAATTCCTAAAGCTGGAGAATGATACGTAATCTCTACCTAGGAATTTCCTAGGGACTGCATTAAACCCTGATCTGCACCCTTCCAGCCTTGCTCGCTGATCTCCTTAAGATTGCTGCACTGAGGCAGTGTATTGGATTACCATTCATCAACATGTTACACATCCCAGTATCTGAAGATGGCTCGCACCACTTCAACACTTTTAGGTCTTCTTCAGGCTACCCTGCAGGTCCTTTGCTATAGAGTTTTTGTCATCAAAGAAGGGAGTGAATCAGAGGTTCAAGGAGAAGAGCTGGGGGGAGTAGAGAACAAAAATGGATGTAGTAGAGTACTTAGCTATTAATACATTCACAACTTTGATTCTGTCTCTTCTTCTCATTTGCCACCCATACAATAAAGGAAGAGTCCTATTTCTAAATATCTCTCTATCTCTATCTCTATAGCTATGTACATATCCATATCTACATCTCTACTTGTCTATCTATCTATTTATATTTTATGTCTCCATATCTGCTGCCATCTCTGTGGACCATATTCAAATAATTGTTGAACTGAAAATTCACATTTCAGGATAAGTGCTTTATATTTAAAAACAAAAATAATAAATTTTCTGAAGAATGGAAATGAGGAAAAGTACATTTCTACCTTAACCATTTTTCTGCCCAGAGCAGTACATAGTCTACTGTGTACTATCTACTAGTACTATTAAGTACGCAGTCTAGTATTGCAGCCAGCCTTCCTAGTTTTTCTCTCATGATTCCTCATGTGCAACTCATTTTCCACATAACAGACTAGGAGAGAGGGACAGAAGAAGAAAAGCTGATTAATGGGTATTAAGTCATAGATAAGGGTTAGAGGTTCTCATGTCCTTTAAGGAGTAATGAGACGATGTAATGATAAAGTAACATGCATTTCAAAAAACTAGAAGAAAAGAATTTGAATGTTTTCATGATAAAAATGATAAATGTTACCTGATTATCCAAATTTAAATGTTACTCAATGTATACATGTAGCAAAACATTAAATAGTATTCCATAAATATGTATAGCTTCCGTGTTTATAAAATTTAAATAAAAATAAATACGAGCATGTGAAAGTGTGGAGTGCATCACAGACTTTCAAGAGGACTATGAAGAGAATTCAGGTCTGTGAACTGAGGAATAATTATATCCATTTTTTCTGGTCCCTAATTGAAAAGTACCACTTCTTTCAATTACAAACTCAGAGAGCATTATCAATCAGTACTTGTGATTTTTATCATCACATATATTTTTATACCATGGAAAGGTACAGAAATCTAAAAACATTCTTAGTGATCACCATTATTTAAAAACAATTTTAGAATTGTTTCTAAAAACAATTCTAGGTCTTCTGCAATGTTTAAAAAAGCACACATATTACTATATCACAACTTAAAATACTTTGATAAGTGTATTTTAGTATAATTGCTGTCTTTGTGCCTCTATATATTTTTGTATGTTTGAGGTTATTTGTAGGAGAGAACTTGGGGTCCTCTAAATTTCCAAAGGGGTATACAATACATATGCACTTACACATTTGCACATGCCATGAAGAGCTCTCAGAGAGTGCCGTCTGTGAGGCCAGGGCACCTGGGTGACTCAGCTCTATGCCTTGGCAGGCTTGTGGTTTGGAGCAAATTATTAATGCCTTTATTCTCGTTTTCTCATCATCTCTGAAGCAGAGTTTGCAAGTTGGCAGACTGCAGTCTGCAAATGTCCCGTATTCCCAATAT